AGTCACAATGAGAACCTAATAAACAGAAAAGGTAGACAACAGTAACGGACCAATAACAGTACAAGCACAAGTGCACAATAACGCTTCAAACACAGAAGCACCATTCAACACACCTAAGACGCCTACTAGTGCCCTTTACAGAAATAACACTAAAGAACAAGTAGATGAAATCGTTGAAAACTTAAAATACCTTAAACCTGAAACCCTAAGTAAAATTAAACAAATAGTACTTAATGATACAGACCAGACTGACAACGAATTTTACTGAAAAAGCAAAAAATATTACATAGCCTAGTCTCAGTAGTACAAAACAGACACAACTGCAAAATGAACAGCAAAAGCACTTTAATCACTTTACAGTGGAATCTAAGGAGTTACAATAGTAACAGCGTGGATTTAATACAATTTTTAGAAACGCATAACTCAGACATCATTTTTTTTAAATGAGACATGGCTAACGAAACGACAAAGTTCGCATGTTAGAGGCTATCAATGCATTAGAGCAGACCGAGAAGATGGGAAAGGTGGAGTAGCTACATTTATAAAAAAATATCTGTTATCAAAACATACGACTCCCTAACACATTTAACACTGGAAAACTACAATGTATTGTCACTAAAGTCCTTAATATTAATTTTGTTAATGTATATAGTCCTTCAAGCAACAACATCACAATAAAAAGGTTCAATGGACTATTGAAATCGCTCGTGGGCGAAGTGGTGTTGGTGGGGGACTTCAATGCCCATCACCCAGCATGGGGTAGCATTAAGGCAAATTACAATGGTAGAGCTCTCTATGAAATCATAGAATCCAACAACCTCATCATAATGAATGATGGTTCCTCAACCAGATTGATAGGACCAGGGGAGAATCCGAGTCCTCTTGACCTGATCATAGTGTCGAACAACTTGGCCACCATCACGCATTGGGGTATTTTGCAGGACTGCGGAAATAGTGATCACTTCCCGATCATTTGTAAATATGAACACTTACTAAGATCAACGAACGAAAGACCCAAAAGAAATTATAAAAAAGCAAATTGGAGTTTCAAACAATTGATAAACGAAAACCTTAGGATGAATACGGATAATGTTGACTACTAAACCCTTGCTCAAACAATAAACATAGTAGCTGATCTTTCAATCCCCTATACCTATACCAAGCCAGATAATAACAGAAAGGTATCCAGAAGCCCATGGTGGGATGAAGAATGCACAGCCAAAATTGAACAAAGGAAAAAGACCATACGAAAGTTTAAACTAGAATCTAGTTTAGAAAATTACATTGAGGCGAAAAAAATCAATGCACAGACAAATAGATTCTTGAAAAAAAATAAAAAACCCAATTTAAAAAATGTTGCTCCATCATAAACAGAAATACGAATCCCTCTTTCATATGGAAAACATTCAAAAAATTTAGTGACAAAAAAGTATACAATAAAAACTCATCCCCTAACCCACAAATTGCCGCAAATATCATAAAAAATCTGACTGTATGTAACATTCCAGCTGAATTCTCATTCCATTGTTAAAAAATGAAAAGCATCAATTCTACTTCAGAGATTTATGTATCGCTTTGGAAAACCGCAAAAATAGTGCTCTAGGAATGGACAATATCTCATATTTATTGCTCAATAATTTACCAGGCTCAACACTACACTCACTATTAAACATATACAACAACTGCCTATAGGGTATGCAAATTCCTAACAGCTGGAAAGAGCATTTGATATATCCCATACTTAAATAAAGACCCAACAATCCCAACAACTATAGACCTCTGATTCTAACTAAGATCGTGCGTAGGGAAAACACTAGAGATTTTGATCAAAAACAAACTAGAGTGGGAACTCGAAAGTAAGATTAAACGAGTATCTGGAAACGTTTGGATGAAAAGCCACAACTTTGAAATATCAGTGGAAAAAAGTTCAGCAATATGGTTAACGAAAGGTAATCGAATGCGGTCCACACCAATAATTAAAATTTACAATGAAAATATAGAGCTCAAAAACCAAACGATATACTTAGGGGTCATACTACATACGAGGCGTGTTTTTAAAGTAAGTACCGCTTTGACCTAAAAAAACAACAAGTAAATTTTGTCCAAAAATGATTTATTCACTTGAAAGGCCATACTTTACTCTACTTTTCTACGTAATTCCCATTACGATTGAGGCATTTATCGTATCTTGGGACCAGCTTTTGTATGCCATCGTCAAAGAAGCTTGCCGCCTGAGTAAACAACCACTGCTTCACATTTTTGGCACTCAGCGTGAACACAATTTCCGATAATTTAAACGTTCGGACACAATTCGTAAAGAACAGTTCTTGAGACAGCAGGAAACTGTTCAGCTAAGGACAAAATCGTGAATCGCTGTTCTCTTTCACTTTACAGTCCACTTTTTGAATCAGGTCATCGGTAATGACTGAAGGTCTTCCTCATCTTTAAAGGCCCTAACCCATTTCCGCACCATTCCATCACTCATAATGTTTTCACCATACACTTCACTGACTTGGTGACGGATTTCAACTGATTTGAAGCCTTGTGTACAGAGATACCGTATTACAGCACGCACTTCGCAGTCGGCGGGATTCACAATCGGTGGAGGCATTTTAAAGTCACGCAAACAGATGTAGACTCGATCGGATGGTTCCGTAACGGCGTCTGTGGCTACCCAACAGATGTTGCTACACGACGCGCGTCCGCTAAACGGCGACCGCAGCGCTGCGGCGGCGTAATTTAAAAACGGTACTTACTCGTACAAATTTAAAATGGAGCGCACAGATAGACAATATGATGAATAAGGATAATAGGGGAATAAAACTTTTAAAAATTTCAAGTTCCTGCAATGAAAAAGACCTCAATAAACTCCAGAAGACGTCATTTCAAGAGCTCAGGATCATAACGGGTACCATGAAGTCAACACCAACTAACACGTGACTAGCAGAAACCGCGGAACATTAACCACAGGCGGATCTGGTTATGCACTAAAGTCCTAGCGAAAAAAATTAGAATTAAATCCCACCGCTTGATTATAGTATTAAAAAAACTAAAAAACCAATATGAGTCAGGCCAAGACTATTGGAGGAATAGATCGCCCACCATCACCATAGAAGCCCTTAACATTTTGGAGGAATACATTCCACTAATCCATTCGGGACGAGCCCTACCGTGCTTCGAGTTTGATTACACTACTCAAACTCGGGCAGTGAAAGTTATCCCCCTTAACATAAACAAAAAAGATCACAATATCGAGCTGCAATTTCTACAAATTATGGAACTGTTCAGAGACACTCATACCCTTGTATACACTGACGCATCTAAAGTGGACTATAAAGTGGGATATGGGTTACACATCCCTCAACTGGAACATAACTACACATCCAGACTAACTGGCTACTTAAATATCTGCGCGGCGGAAGTAGCAGCGATTAACAAAGCATGCAACATAGTCATAGAAAAGAAAATCCAGAAAAGCCTAATATTAACAGACTCGCAAAGTGCTATAGCACAAATAGCAAATCAAGGTGTGGACGCTAACTCAGAATATGGCTGTCTCACAATAAGAAAGCTAATTCACGAAGCTGCAGAAGAAGGATACAATATTGAACTGGCTTGGATCCCAGGACACTCAAACATTAGAGGAAATGAAACGGCAGGCACCCTAGCTAACTTAGGAAGACAACTCAGAATTCCACAAGATACGAAACTTACCATACCCGATATACTAACTAAGGCCAAAACAAAAATAAAGGAGACATTCATAACAATGTGGAAACGAACATTCATCAACAAAGGCAGATGGTATAAGAAAATACAAGAAGAATTTCCGGTCAAACCATTTTACTCCAAAATCCCTTATATAAGCAGAAGACACCTAACAGTCATAATCAGAATGAGAACGGGACATGCAAGATATAAAGCTCACATGTTCAAAATAGGAATGGAAGATGACCCCTTCTGTGATTGTGGACAATATGCAGATTTAAATCATATACTATTAGAATGCCCAATAAATGAAATATTAGGTTTTAATCTATATGAAGAGATAAGAAAAGCTGGGAGTCAATGCCCCCTTTAACATTCAATTAATACTTGCAAATATCAACATGAAAGTCATATACCTATTAACCTACTTCATTCAGACAAACAAAATAATATAACTGTTTCAGATCCCCATCTTTTAAAACCCTGGATGCTAATCCTTTTTCGAGGCAACATTTAGGGTGTGTGTAATGTACCTCGGTTGCCCGGGTACGAGAAAAGTCTATAATTGTGTTGTGCTATCTGTCTGACTAACCTTCCCACACCACTTTAGAAAGCATAAGTAAAGGTTTTCATCAATCATAAATAGCAACATCTCAGCTCTAGAAATAATACAGCAGAAGATATAGATATATTTTACAGCATTTCTACACGTGCATTCGAGACAATACAGTGACTCGTACATGGCTGAGAGCCAGACAAAGTACAGTCACAACAAATGAGCAGGCGGATTGTACACGTGTACAGAAGCCATAAAGAATAAAGAAGAAGAAGAAGAATCCACCCTGCGGTCCCTTAGGACCACTACTACTACAACTTTTTGTTTTAATTGGCAGGGGAAAACCGTGATGGTCTTCTTTCTTGAAAAGCCGTGCTGCGGTGGTAAAGTTGCATGCGCCGCTCTTTGCGACGACTGGAGGATCCTACTCTAGTAAAAAAAAACCTGCCTCCTGAAAACACGTGCCGTTCTTCATTGGTAACATCGCTCCGGTACCGCTTTCGCATTTCTTCAGAAACGGTGCTGCCAGCCTCTCGTTGTGCACCTATGAACTAGCTTGCACTCTCTTCTTTTCCCTTGGACTTCTTCCACACTCTCGTTCTTGACCATCAACTTTACAATTCGTCCCAGGATCACTTTCACCTACTTGTAATTCGACTAGCTGTATTCTGGAGTACCATCTGGGGCAGTCAAAGAATGTGTGCCTTGGGCTGTCGACCTCCGCACAGAAGACGCACTGCGGTGTGTTTGTCAGCTTGAGACGATGCAGGTAGTCGTTAAAAAGTCCATGTCCAGTGAAAAACTGAGAGAGATAAAAATTTACCTTTTCATGGAGCCTGTTATGCCACACCTCTATGTCTGGGATGAGTAAATGGGTCCATGTTGCTACATGTTCTTGCCGTCTCCACCGTTCTTGCCATTTACGTATCGTGATGATTCTAGCTTGCGCGTTTGTTATTGGATCTCCACTTTCGCGTCTGTTGTACAGTAGCAATACCGCGTCCTCTGAGACTGTCCAATAAGCGCTGGCTACACGAAGTGCGGCTACCCGCTGTACTGACGCCAGACTCTTAAGATGCGATTCCACCAGTGTGCTGAACTGTGTACAGCACAAATGTTTCTTCTGGTCGACTCACTCACGCAAACAATAGCAAATTGTGCGCAAACATTTCGGAAACGTTCGCGCACATCAGTTACTTTTGTGCGCGCGCACATTCAAGCAGTAGACTCGCGTCGGCGGATACATACTTGTTGTTCGCGAACTCAGTATTACTCCCGCTCCTGGAGTGAAAACATTTGTTTGTACGCGCACTTCTTTTACGAAATTGAAAATGAACTGGATGAATGATAGGATTATAAAATTCATTCAAGCAATTGAAACTTATCCTCTTCTATGGGATTCCAGTCACAATGATTATAAAAACAGAAACAAAAAATAAGACGCCACTCAAAAGTCGGCTCAAAGTTTCAATTGTGACTCGACTGAGGTAATGAGAAAATGGAAGACTATTTTTGCTCAGTACCGAAGAGAAAAGAAGAAAATAGCGGATTCAAAATCTTCAGGTTCTGGGTTTTCAGATTTATATAAGCCAAGATGGTTTGCTTATCGTGGTTTTCTTCTTCGTTTCTTTTTAAGCAGACTACTTATTAAAACACAAGCTGCAGCACAAAACACTACGTATTCCTGCCCGTCCATATTAAGAACTGAAGTTAGTGAGAACCTTGATTGGTAAACATGTTCGTGCACAAGTGTGCTACACTGTACGCTTACAAAAGTTATGCACTGCTGTGCCGGTGGACACAGAAGATAAATTCGATACCAGTGAGCACATTCAATGCTGGAGTTTCACACAAAATGTTTGTAAACATATGTGCTGAACACTATGTTGGTGGAATCGTACCTTTACGATACTTCTGCCCGTCTAAAGCATCTGCCCATACTTCAGCGCCATGATCGAATGCGCAACACACATGACCGTACGCCTCTTACTCGCCCTAGGTCCATTTATGTTGGGCATGAGTCTGGATAGCGATGCGACCATTTTAGCTGCCATGAGTGCCGCTGCTTGGATATGCTTGAAATGCCTCAGCTTCGCGTCTATTATCTCCGCTAGAAATTTAACCATGTCAGTTGCTTCAACGTTTACATCACCAAGAGCGACTTGCAAGCGTACTGGAAATTTCTTCTGCCTTGTCAGCACTACTAACTCTGTTTTACCAACGGCTAGCTGTAGACCATGCAGTTTAAGCCAGTCGCGCACCTGTGTCACTACATATTCCACCCTCTTTTTTGCCTCTTCTGGGTCCCTCGCTTGAACGGTTGCAGCAATATCTGCATACCCAATGAGCCTCGCCCACTCTGGAAGCTCCATTCTCAGTATGCCATCATACATGATGTTCCAGATCTCAGGACCAAGAACTGATCCTTGCGCAACCCCAGCAGAGACTTGCCTTCTTTCTAACCCCTGCGTCGTTTGATAAATCAACTCCCTGTCATGGAGGTAATCCGCTAACACGTGCAGGAGATACACTGGCACCTTAAATTGATGCTCAACTGCGACAGGGATGTCCTTCCGCCTTGCAGAATTGAAGGCGTTTTTGACGTCTACGGTGACCAGCACGCAAGACTTTCGCGTCCTATGATTTCCTGTCCAAGTTGAGTTGGTATAATCCACCACTTCTTGAATGGCATCAATAGTTGAATAGCCAACTCTAAAACCATGCTGCCTTCCGTAAAGCTCACCTGCCTCCTTTACCGCTTCGCGAACTCGTTGTCTCAGCAGTCTTTTGTGTAATTTTCTGGCATCATCTAGCATACATAGGGGTCTATAAGACGTTAAGGTAATGGGCGGACCTTTTCCTGTAAACAACAGCACAAGACGTTGCACCTTCCATTTCTGTGGGAAGGTTCCGCTTAACAGGCATGCATTGTACATAATCAGGAAGATGGTTGGACACTCATTGGCTGCCAATTTGATTATTTCTACAGGTATGCCATCTGGTCCGGGAGCTTTTCGACATTTCATTAACTCGGTTGCTGTTCTCAATTCCTCTATGTTGAAAAGGGGGACGTCTGCCTCCACTATTGCCGACTGCTTGGGAGCTATCGGGTGTTGCGGAAACAGGGTATCAACAATGTCCTTCATGGTGTCGTGATCAAACGGTGTAACTGGTGCCTGCTTCCCTACGCTGCATCACAATTTTATACCCAAGTCCCCACTCATCTTGATCTACTTACATAGGTTCATCCAACACTCCTTTTTGCTTTTCCTTATTGCGTCTCTCAGCTTCTTCCTAGCCAGCCTATATAATTCCCTTGCGTCGCTGGCACCCGTTCTTGTGGTTATGCGCTGGGTTTTCGTCCTCAGTGGAAGGGCGTGCCTTCACAGAGTCTTAATATCATCTGTCCACTAGTACGCTGAACGTTTATGCATCGCCAAGTTTCGTTTTGGCATCGAAATATTGCAGCAGATTGTGTATCCTCAACCATCTTCTCGACTGCATGTCTTGATTGACTGGTTGACACAGACAAATTTCCGGTTCTACTAAGCTTACTGAGAAACCTTTCGCGATTTAGCATGAACACATTCCACCCTGAGTGGGGTATTGAAGTCCTTTGTAGGCATTTTGTATGGTGATCTGCCCAGATGGTAAATTTTATGCACTGATGGTCGCTTCCAGTGAAGTCTTGAAGTACCTTCCAGTTATTAACCTGTACTGTCAGAGCTGGAGAAGAGAAAGAAAGAATAATTGTTTGTCTGTATCCGCTTCGCCGAAAAGTAGTCGAGGTGCCAGAGTTGAGCACTGTCAGATCTAGCCTGGACACCATTTCAACAACTCGCCTTCATCTGGGACAGTAGTAGTTAATTCTCCAATCTGGTGCTCATGTATAACATGCCATAAATAGATTTTCCCAGAATGTATTTGTTTATGAGTCATATTTCAGATTCCATCCATACGTGGATGGGCCACCCTGTATACAAGTAATATATCTATTTGCGTTGAACTGTTCATTTTCAGAACATTATTGCCAGATATAGGATTTTAATAACCCGGAAGCTTATGGAATTTGTTCAATGTAGGGAAATATTATTGACTGATCCAGCACTGTTTGGAAGAAAATGAATGCTTCTGCATTTGAGTTATTGTATCAAATTTCTTCAACGTAAAAAAACATAACCTAACATCAAAATCGGTGACATGGTTGACATCTAGAAATAATGGTTCCGTACCAGGCGACCACACACGTGCATTATTGAAGCAAAGCTGAAGTAATGGAAATTGTAAGAACGACTGACGATATGGCATTTAGGCACGCTAAAATATCACTGAATAATACTTGGCATACGGCTGTCTCTTTTTGACATTGTTGTGGGATATTGTCCATTGATATTTTATTCAATTGAGTGGTTAAGACACTAAAATCGATGTAAATTTATTGGGAATAGCTGCATGGAATAGGCAACTGATACTTATTCCAGCGCACTAGGTTCAGTTCCATTGTATATTGTATAACTACTTTACTTCTCGAACTTGACTGTGCGTTGTCACAATTTATTGTTTTTCTGGAAAACAATTTATGCGGAACACAAACAGCACCTTATACCGCTTGGAAACAGCTGAATTACAAATAAAAATCAATAAGGTGATTCGGCCGAGGGTCGTATGGCTAGACCGATAGAACTACCTGCAACGTTGTTAAGTTTAGTACGTCGTGGCTGGTTAGATATATGTGGATATGGGGTAGCTAGGGTTAGTCCTTCATTATCCGTTCCTTTTACAGTGGACGCGACGCTCCATCGTGCACATGAGCTGGACGAACGACGAAGAACTGGTCTGTATTCAAGAGGACGGCGTGGTCGTGATTCACAATATGTTCGGCAAATATCAGCACGCATTCAACATCAGCCAGAAGATACAGGATACCAAGATCATCGAGGCCAAGATGTTCATCAATCCACAGAATTTTACTGGCATCGCGGTGCTAACATCCAATTTCAAAGTATTTCTGGTCAATAATATCAAGGAACCCAAAACTAGGCAACTGCCAGACTTGCCCAGTAAGCTTGCTCATTTAATGTTGTCTTCCAGTGCTATAACGTTAAGTCATAATGCAATTAAACTATTTCCCTAGGTTATTATAGAAAGCAAACGCATGGAAAATATTTTTCTTTAATGTGTTTTTTTCATTCTAGAGTCGCACATACAACCCACTAGTTGGGTAGTGTTGTCTGAAGATACAACTGATGTGTTGATTGTCAGAGGAGCGGAATTGTATCGCTTAAAACAGGATGAACATCATATTAGCGCAATGGTAAGTCCGTAACAGTAAGCCAGTTCTCAGCTGTTTTGACTATTATTATTTCTTTTTTCAATTTGGCACTAGACCTCGTATATTGATATTTTTAGATTACTTCCAAGATAGCCTATGATTATCTACACTGTTTCATTGCTACTGACGTTTCTACCATCCCTAAACCAAATAGTAGTTTTTTTTTATTATCTATTATCTACTAGAAAAAATCAACAAAAAACAATAACAATAAAAACAATATAATCCTCTTCTTCAAGGTCACCCTGATGACAGAAAGATGCACCTAGATGGTTCAAACCATCTGTACGTGCTTTCATCAGTCATACTATGATACAAAAACACTATCAGAAAAACCTTTCAAATTGTGCAGCATTCTCAAAAATATATTATCTGCAGCTGGTGCTAAACATTTTAATATTCTTCATTTTTTTGGCAGAATTTTATATATCTTTGGTCCTATATACGTTATGTATCTTAAGTTTAAGTTATTATTATTCTTGGGAATTTCTATTGCTTGCCCACATTTGCTCGCGTACCGTAGTTATGACGTACTTGTTTCTATAACTTTTCATTTATATAACTGAAAGTAGATACTGTCATCACGTACAAGGTTCTAATATTACACACATCCTTTGTAAAAAGTTTGTTAGTGGGAAATCTTTTATCTTCAAAATAATTTTAATTATATATTTCTGAATAATAATGAGTTTATGTAGTGTATTATTATACAATCCCCTCATACTAATATCCCATATCTAATTACAGATTCAACAAATTCTTTATAAATTGTTATTACATCTTTTATCGAGAAACCCTCGCAGTAGATACAATTTATGGATTAATTTTCTAACTCTACTCGATACATAAATCAACATGCTGTTGCCACTATAAATGTTGGTGAATAGTGATTCCAAGATATTTAGTTTGAGACACTTCCTTAACAGAATAGTTATCATCCAACTTAATAGTGTTGTAAGTTTTTATTGGTCAATGAAAACGCAATATAGTTTGTCTTAGATAAATTGAATGTTAGTTTACTTTCTTGTAACCAGTCTTTTACCATACCTAGACCATACAGTGTTCTGTACTTTACATCCTCCCAACTAGAACCTACAGAAAGAAGCACAGTATTGGGGATTCAAGATAAGCGATACGCTATCTGGTGGCCATTAGAGAAACTAGTTTCTTGTTAATTAATTCGCTGTTGCTCAATTTTTTTACATGCAAATTTTCACTGGTTCCCGGCAAGTTACGGTATTCTACGTTGAGTTTCTATTTATAAATTGTATTGTTGCCTGTAGAAGGTCACAATCATGACGTCGAATCATTACTGTTGTGTTCCGCTATGCAATTCTTTGGCCGAAAAGGATGCTGAAAAGGAATTATGCCTTCATCAATTTCACCCAGAGAAGGGACAAAAAGTTTATTTTGAAACCGAAATGGGAAAAGATCTGAAGAAAAGTGTGGGTTTTGCAACTTCGAATTGGAAAGCCATTTACAGTATTGATGAAAGTATGCTCTCGTCATTTTCAAAAAGAAGAATATTTTGACAAAGATAAGTTATGAATGTTTATTAGCTCATATTCATATATCAAGTTTTTCTTTTACATTTTATTGGTGCTCGGTTTGTTTTTGGGATTCCCGTTATAATACTAGTTGTCTACAGTAATGTATGTTTTCTTCCAGGGAAAAATACAGGGAAACGCCGTGTTTTGAAAAAAACAACTATTCCTTTTCAGAATCTGCCAACATCTTCAGTGCAGTCTAAGAAGCTGTTGAACTAACCTCCTTGCAGTCGGTTAGAGATATATAAAAAGAGGAAACTGGAAACTGAAGCATCCCAAGAAGACCCGTGTGAGGTCGAGTTGAATCAAGAGTTGCAGTATTCTGAGGACAAAATTCACACTGCTCAAAGCTTACTACAATTATTTAACCTAGACCAGGACATAAGTTGAAGTGTAATTGATGGTGTTCTTGAAAATTAGCAATTGTCATTTGGTAATTCTGAAGTTCAAATTAACACTGACAAAATACCAACACTGAGTGACCTATTAACAACAGACAGTGCTTTAAGAATTTTCACGGGGATCAGCAATTTTGAAATCTTCTAATGCATAGTGGCAAAGGTGGAAGAATTCCTTCAGTATATAAGATCTCATAGGCTTAGCTTGTGTGAAAGAATACTTCTCACAATGACGGATTAAAATTAGATCTTAGTTACTATATGTCTCTTTAAGTGTGTTATTCAATATTTCTAGCCAGTTATGTAAAACATATTTTTTAAATTCTCTGTTTTAAGTAAAATTTTAGAAAGTTTCATCTAATTTCCTCCTGCTGAGGAAATATCTAAAAATGTACCGAAATGTTTTAGAGATTTCAAAATTGTCGAGTTGTTTTAGATTGTACAGAAATAAATATCCAAAAACCAAGTTGTCTGTTTTGCTGCATTAAGTTTTGCTCTCAGTACAAAAAACATACTAGAGTTAAGTTTATACTTGGAGTTGCTCCTGCTGGTTTGACTACTTTTGTGAGTAAAGCTTATGGTGGTCGTGCATCTGACAAAATGATTTTTGAGGGAAGTAATCTTACGGATAAGTTATTACTCAATTGGGATGCCGTAATTGTGGATAAAGGGTTTCTCATTCATGATATTTACATAAAATTAAATTAATTAGGTCACCCTTTTTGAAAAATAAGAAGCAACTTTGCTTCAGCACATGTTCGTATTGAAAGATCAAACCAAATATTAAAGATTTTTAAAATTATCAGCGGAAAACTGCAATGGTCACTTGTTCCCAAAATTGATGAAATTTTTACTGTAATTTGTGGAATTACCAACCTGTTGGCACCTATTCTTTCTGATGAGAGATTCTAAAAACTACTACAAACAGTTCTAGAAAGGAATTGTATTAACCCCACACCAAATTTGGTTTTGCAAATATGTATTGCTCGATATCCAAGGACAGCCAGTAAAGCCTACAAACATTTTCACTACTAAGCATTTTATTTTTGTCAGCATACCAAAGATACAAAACACATTCTTTTGTTTTTCTTGAATTTAGCAATGAATATGAGTATGAATTATTATTACAAAGCTCATTGCTGTATTTCCTCATCACACTTTCTTGTCTTATTAAATAGATCCTTATAAAGTATCTTTGATTGAATTTTGAATACCAAAATAAAGAGCAACCACCATCTTTTCTGTTTGGAAATGTTAATATGTAAGCTTTACTTGCGTGTGTATTTTGTATAATTCTTTATTGGAATGAAATAAATCAACATTATTTAAACACTTTTTGTTTTATTCTAATAAAATTTTGAGGCTTTACAAAATAACTGATTATGATACAAGAGATTCAAATGGTTAATTATGTCATTAACAAAAAATGGTTGACACTCGTCAGAAATATGTTAACAATCATTTACATATTGTAGCATGCTCTTGAAATAATTGTTTTATTTTTTCAATCATTTTCTGGCGAAGTTATAATCAAAGTCCATGTTGATTACTACTGAACTGCCAACAAATGAAGAGCATAAAAATACATATGACTTCAACAGATTCAGCATTGTACTTGACCATAGTATATATTTATGTTTCTCCTTCAACAAAAATTTTCCATTTTTGTATTCAACAAAATGGCATGATTTGATGAATTCTCCAATTGATAATTTTTTACCTAAAACATAGTGGTATATTTTGTTAAAAAAGTAGTGCTATTTAAAAACAACTATACCTAAAATATGAACATTTAATTTAAAATAATGCAAGTGGTTTCCCATTTTCATCTACTACCACTCCATCTGGTGAAAAACCTAACCATTTTTCTTGTGGAAAAATTATCATTCCACGCTCTACAACATTTTTGCCACTTTTTTCTATAAATGCAGTCCTGACATCGTTTTCATAATATGCCCATGCTTGACATATTTGTTTGTGAAACTTTTTGGCCAAAAATATTTTTTGCTTCATTTTCTCAGTTACTTTCTCCAAACGTATATGTATATTTCATAATGTCCCCATAATTCGAAATTGTCGAGCACTATTCCACTCTCTAGAGCCTTGTTTTAAACTTATCATGTCCCAAACATCATCTTTCAGTACACTGTTGGAAATATTGGTCTTAGATCATCATTGTAATGGACTGGGCAGAGTTTTCCAAAATAAGTTTATAACTGGGGTTGTTAATGCCCACAGTATCATCCATAACTAGTGATTTTAGAGGTTCCTTGGAAATTCCTTTTCTGAAAGTGTATTCATTTAAAATATATTTTACAAACATACCTATGTTTTGCTGCTATTTTTTGTCTGAAATAATCCAAAATTGACTTGTTTGCATTTCTAGTTATCTCTTTAGTAAGCAAATTGTTATTTTCAATTTTGCCTTTTAGGCATGCTGCTTGACAGGTACAGTCATGTACGAGTCCCGAACTTTCTGGTTGACCATGCACAAGCTAGTTGGGTTTTGGAGATGTCTTCCAGCTCCGACAGATTGTAAATGAAGCATACATAACTAACCTTGACTTCACTGTCACACATACCTATTTTTGCAGTAACAATAATAAAACTTAATTTACCTGGTCAAAGGAATAGAAAGGCTGAAATGTTTGCACCGACCTCCAGCACCAGTTTTAAAAGAACAAAATATACGCTTTATTTTTGCTTGTCTGTTGTAAACAGTTAAGTCCCCAATCAACTGATGAGGATCAGAATGTAACGCACTTGTTTGCAAACAAAGGGCACACAACTTGAGTTTGGCCATGTAGCCAGTATAACAGCGATACTCCATATTGAACTTGAGCTTAAAGGGATCCTTAGGCGTTAATTTCTAGTCTTGCAAAAATATGTATTTTGGATTTTTAAAGAGTATAATAAGCTTTAAATATCTCGTAAGTTTCTTATTGTATTCAGGAGGTGCGATGGTTTCATGTCGATAATCACAGTTGTTATTTTAATTCAACATTTCTATTGAATGATTTTTAAGTTCATGCTGTTAAAAATATACAAAACAATGAACTTATGCTCGGCAATAGACTAATTTTTTCCAATTGCTGATATTTTTTTCAGTTAGAGCCGGACATGACAAACAAATACACTGCGATCTTGGAGATGAGTGTCTCTCTGAATTCAAGACATTTGGCAATTTTTACCGATTCTGGCATACTTTGGCTGGGATCAACCGATCTTAGGGCCAAATACAGCGAGATTGATACGAACATTATCCTTAAGCCGAAACAAATTACATGGTAAGTTGATTATCGTTATTCAGAACTGCATGAACATTTACTCAAAACATATTATAGTATAATAAAATATTTTCGAACTATGAAAATTTACTTTGAATAGAAAACGCAGTTGTCGTGTAGATAGCTATTTTTTTACTGATTCATAAAATACACACTTTGAAAGGAATAGCAGCACAGTAGACAAATGACCTCGTCAGAGCGGAATTCGCTGCCAGTTTTCTTTTTTCCAGCACACTGTCAGAGATAGGCTTGTCGCTCTGAATTCCTGCATGTAGAGTAGTGCTGTCATCAGCAAAGCTTTGAATTGGATTGATTGTACAGGAAAAGAGGTCGTTGAATATGTAAGAGGAACAGTGTCGGAGCCAAGACCGATCCCTGGGGAACACCCGCGTTGACGTTGTGGGATGAAGAGGAGAACCCGTCAATTACGACGGATATCTTGCGGCCAGAGAGAAAGTCAGCCACCCATCTGCAAAGCTTTTCTAGAAGGCCATAGGATGGAAGTTTGCTTAAGAGGGCAGCGTGCCACAGCTGATCGAACGCTTTTGTGATGTAAAGAGCAACGACATGAGCCATACCATAAGACTGGATGAGTTTACTCCACAATTGCCTGACGTCAACTAGTAGGTACCCTATGGATCGCTGGTGCCGGAAACCATACTACCTGTCGCTAATCAAGCCGTGATGTTCAAGGTACTCCAGAACTCGCGATTTATGCACATCTCCATCACCTTGTAACAGAAAGCAGAGTTATAGGCCTGCAGTTGTAAGTATCGGCCTTAGTTCCCTTTTTTGGGACAGGTTGGACATGAGTTTTCTGGGAAGGTGCCGAATTCGTAAGACATCTGGAACTCATGCGGAAGAACTGGGCCAAGCTCCCTCTTCAATACAATGGCAGGAATCAAGTCCGGATCAGAATCTTTGTTGATGTCGAGCGACAAGAGTCTTACGGTCTTATGCTCGAATGTTTCTTCTGGTAAATAGTGCCAGGAACTCTTTGAACCGACGGCACCTGGACGTTGGGAGAGCGTCCATGGTGGTTGGCAGCAAATATCTTGGCAAGCGCTTCCGGCTTAGCCTTTGAGTCGGTTACAATCGTTCCATCTTGGCACGTAAGTGGTGGAAGGCTACTCTGTGAGAAGTCCATTTCAATCTGCTTGGCAAGCGTCCAGGAAGATCGACCGGCCTTGCGCTGCGACATCCTGTGGCTAATTTTTATATCGTGTTTATCTTTGGCATTGCGGACTGCCTCGTTATATTTGTTTTTTGACTCGACGTCGCGTCGGCTTGCCAGTTCTCTAGAGTGGGATTTTGTAAGAAAGTTCTGTGTGCCTTGATCTTCTACTGCCAAGCAGTATCGCACGGTTTGTTGAACCAGTCGTTGGTCCCTGGTTTAGACACTTTGACCATATGAGAGAAGTTTTCCTCTATCCCATATGCAGTTTTTAGTGCGGGCTTGGTCGATAACTTAATCAAAATAGCACCAGATGTAGTGATGGAAACTTCTTATTTTAAAAAAGCTTTTCTGAATATAATAAAATATACACTGTCCCATTTAAAAATGCATGTTCTGTTACGTAGTTATAAATCGTCGTGTAGAGTCGCGTATTTCTCATGAGCATAAAGTTGCATTTAATATTTGTTAATGACTTTTTAGATATATGTTATAACAGTGGAGCTATCATCCTATTACACACTAAAAACTTGCCCTCTATATATTATAGCCATTTTCAGTTCTTTCCAAGAAGCGACGGAAGTATTGTGGGCATGCATGTTTGAACCAAAGTCTAGGTCTCATCAGTACAACTTGGCAAGCCGATAGTGAAAATTGAGTCACGTAGTTGTTATGCATATGATTATATTGCAACTACTACTAAAACTGTCATATTCACTAGCAGTTTTAAAATAAGCTTATGACATAGATACATTATTGTTTGGTAATGTCCTAAAGTAGTCAACCATTTTGAAGGTGTGGTAACGAGGCGGTAGTTCTGTTCTGGGAGCAAGATCACATTATGTTGGTGGTGGGGAAATATGGGCAAAAACTTCACTATTATTATGACAGCAGTATTCATCTGGTCCCGGAATTGGATGGAATCAGAATCATCTCTAACACTCAGCACGAACTGTTACAAAAAGTTCCTGATGTCGTCCAGAAGATATTTAGAATCAACAGCACTGATCCCGGAAGTTTTCTCTTGGAAGCTTCTAAACAGTTCCAGGTAAGATGTCATTACTAAGTAATGAGATGACTCCATGTTTGTGTTGTCGCTAACTGAAACCACATACGTTTGAATTACATTTTGCTGATACCGTATCGGCAATCACGGTGGCTTTTTCCAAGTACAAATGACGATGACAGTATATCTTGTTTGTCTATATTCCAGGGGACAGTTCATTCATTCTTTCTTCGTTACTGTACAGTGTGTTGCGACAACAGTTTGAATGGTTCTGTACCATTCCGAGATCGCGCGAAGCCCTCATTACAATTTTCAGATGGCACCGCGCAAAACCAGCAAAGCCCAGGAGCGCCTGGGGTAGCCATTCACACTCTCAAAGGACGTCCAGCCTCCCAAAGCGGTAAGCGAGCATGGGGTTTTTGAATGTACCAGGTACGTCATCCTCGCCCATAGTCCCGAAAACGCCAAAAACCCTTCAAGAACGCGACAAGTACTGTTGTCGCAACATACAGATTCACTGTTTTGCAATCTTCGACGACTGACGCCGCATCTGCATTGTTTATGGATCTGAAATGCGAGAAATGGTATAAATAGTATAGTTAGACCTTGAGATGGCGAAGCATCTGCGCATTTGATATCCCATAACAAATCACAAGAAAAAGCCTGGAAGATAAAAACTTGTGGCACATCAGACAGTTAGACAAATATCAACTATATATTTTCTTTAAGGATGCGCAACCAAATTCAGTTTCAGTGTACAAAGGAACTAGAAAGACAATTATTGTTTAATTTTATATAGTCTCAATCAGTGCAGTGCATTTCCAGATATTTGAAACTTACAAAAGTGATTCATATTTTTCAACACGGAGATACAAACGATCCTGCTAACAGGGATGCTGGCGACTCACTTTTTTCGATTCATCTAACTTTTACAAACTTTTCCCTGAAAACATTCAGTTTTCTGACTTTTTTCGCTCTCGTTGTATATATTGTAGTTTATGAACGTTTCCGAAGGAGCTGTCCTCGTTCTCTCAAGCCCCACGAAATTGAATTGTTTTATAAATATGTATTAACTATGTCAAAGTTTTTCGTGTACAGGGTTCTCCCCAAGCTGAGCCAATATATTACATGAGAAATTACTAGGATTAGTTGAAATTTACGTTGAATTTTAATTCACCTTTGCTAAAAGTACTCTATTATCTGCACTATTTCAAATTCGGAAACGGTAAGCAATACAATACTAAATCATTTATGAAAGCAAATATGCGCATTTAGGTAACTAATAAAATGTTAGGCAATTCAGAGTATTTTTAAAGACACAGAAAATACGAATTTGCCCTGAACCGTTTTGATTTTCTCCTGGCTTAATTTGAGCTGGCATTTCAATATACATTTCATTAACAGTGGCACTTTTTACAAGCCCAGTACAAGTAACTGTTAATACGTTAGTTCGTTAGTATGCACAAACCCTGAAATTGAATTTTAGCCTCAACCTTAGACAATCGAGCCGAAATTTTGTAAGCCTGTCTGGTTCGTGTGACAATGCATAACGAATTAACTGTTGCCATTTGCAAGGAGCAAATAAACGAATATTTTGAATCCAACAACTCATTTATGGCATCTCAGTTTGGCTTCAAGAAAAACAGATCCACTACACAACCTATAAACTTATTGAGTTTCTGAACGACACGTTTGAGAATAATGAAGTGTTCCTCTCTCTCTTTTTTGTATCTTACCAAGGCTTCGATTTTATTCAAACTGATATGTTTTTGAAACGTTAGCACAGTATCACTTCCACGAATTTAGTGTATCTCTAATAAATTCTTATTTTCACAACAGAAAACAGTGTTTTGTTTCAAAAATGCTTGTTTATCCACCCTGCTTGTTTCAAGTGGAATTCTTTATTATTTTTAATATATATTAATGATCTGCCAAACTGTAATCACTCGAACAATTTAATTTTATTTGCACATGATGTAACAATAGACACTTCTCAAACGACTCGTTTCTAGCTATTAATATAATGTATAAAGAAAATCTTGTGTTTTGTTTCAAAAATGCTTGTTTATCCACCCTGCTTGTTTCAAGTGGAATTCTTTATTATTTTTAATATATATTAATGATCTGCCAAACTGTAATCACTCGAACAATTTAATTTTATTTGCACATGATGTAACAATAGACACTTCTCAAACGACTCGTTTCTAGCTATTAATATAATGTATAAAGAAAATCTTCAAAATTGGTTTACTGCGATCAAATTGACGCTTAATGATTTCAAAACCCATTGTATTGAAATCAGCTTATGGATCGATAACATTAAATCACAGCAATCAATTAAATTCCTAGGTGTCTACATTGATAGTCATATGATCTGTGAGGTACATGTAGACAAGCTCTTGAAAACCCTATCCAGATGCATCTATGTAATCCGTAATTTGGGAAACAATATATAGATCAAATCAATACCTCATAAGTCCGAAAATGTCGATTTTCTGATGTTGTTCTGTTTTGATTCCTGTATGTCATACAACATCAAAAGAGAACAAAATCAGAAAATCGACATTTTCGGACTTAACGAGGTATTGATTTGAGATCGTCGATATCAGATAGTGTTCTTCTCACAGGCTATTTTGCATACTTCCATAGTAAAATGACATATGTACTAATATCATTCAGCTCATATGGCAAAACTGTTTGGGATACATAGAAGATGATGCATCAGATACATGTATGGTTTGCATTATACTGAACCATGCAAATAAACATTTATTAACAGAAAATAATGAAATTGTCCAGCCAACTATATTTTAGTATGCTTAAAGTATGTCAAACATTACTTATATAATCAGTTATGCTACGCATGGGGCCATTCTTAACCATATTACGCCCAACTGGGATAATCTTGTACTGTACTGCCACAAAACAATGAAACTAGATATGGGATAAACTATTACGGCATAAAATTTTGCAACCCTCTGCCCCAGAATGTACATCAGCTAGAGAATAATAATTTTGAATCAAACATAAAGAGATACCTTACAGAAAATTGTTTCTATTGTTTTGAAAAATACGGTCAGTGATTTTACAGTTCTTCATAATAGAATTTTACTTTATTTATTCGTGTTTTTTGTCCTTTTACATTGAGCGTTTTGTGTGTTGTTTCTAAAATCATCTGCTGTAAATGCAGTATCGTTTGATTTTCTCATTAAAGTGATCTCAATTTCTGATTAATCACAAATACCGCATACTTAAACGTTAACGTTAGGCATTTTTGGCTTTCACGTCATGAAGCAACTATCAAATAAAGTTAACATTAACGTTTATGTATGTGGTATTTGTGATCATTGTTTTTGTCGAATGTATAAATTCAATATAGATTTTTTTAAGTACGTCTACTAATAACTTCTGTTGTAAAAGAGGTATCTCGGATCTGCAATTGATGCCGGATGGTGTCCCTGCTTTCTTCATTACCACTACCACTTACTTGAGTTTTTACTTATTAGATCAGGGAAAAACTCGGAGGCTAACGCACTTGCTGTCACTGTCAACATTTCCAATTTCTTACTTCTTTCAATACATTGTTGCCACATGCAACCTAAAATCTTGGGTTACTGGATACATACAATGCAACTGTTTTACAATGTCCACAAATAATAATAAAGTCCCAAACATACCGCCCGCATTGAAAGGTCCAGGAATTTCAACAAACATTATTAGCTTCAATAGGCAACACGCACAACCGATTCTCAGCACGTTTTACTGTAGCGCCACCTCTAACCTTGACTTCACACACTCTGACAACATTTTCAGTTCCAGGAAACAGTTTCACCACACTGCCTAACCTCCAATCCAAGTTAGGAGTATTTTCTGCTTTCAGCAGGACCAAAGAACCTATCTGCAGACTCGTTACTCCATCTCTTCTCCATTTAGTCCTCGTCTGTAGCTCTGATAGGTACTTTTTATGCCATCTTTTCCAATAATGCTGAGTCATAGCTTGCAGCTGATGTCAGGTATTCAAACGATTGACAGGTACTTCGGCTTCAGTTCAGGAAGGGCTATTAACTGTCTCCCAAACAAAAAATTCAACTAAATCGCGTATATAACTGACTTTTAACTACTAAACTTGCGTGTATAACTGATGCTTACTTACTATAACTGTGGGAACTACCATTCTGCAGGGAAACTAGTCAAAACATTGCAAGTCTTGCAACATCGATACTTTTGCAAACAACCCCTATTCCACTTTAATATGGTAAAAAAGAAACTCATAAAGGCGATGGTGAAGGAATGGTGCACAAACCAGGATTTAAGAACGACTTGTTTCACGACCATCAAATCCAAGCGGTGTTAAATCGATTTATTGCGCATGTCACACAGCGCAAATACCAGACATAATTCACAGGCCAAAATTGGATAGACAATTCGGACGGTTGGTAGGTTAGGTTTCACTTAAAAGGAATATTTAAAGCAAAACATGGGCAAGGAATAAGTTCATGGGCACCAGATGCATGCGCTATGTTGTGTGCAGAATTTAGACTGCTGGGAACTATGATAGTCAAAACATAGTAGGAAAATGTAATTACCGACAGTTACATGGATGAGAGTAAATTCATAGCCAGGACAAACGCAGAATTTGTGAAACTAAACCCTTTGCGTTAAACGGCACCACCGATGGGGAACAACTTTGCGTATATAACTGACGCTAACTGTATTTTTCAAGATCGCGTATATAACATTTTAATTAAATATTTATTTTGAAAACAGACAGGTTCCGGTTATTCCTTGTCCGGTGATGCGGTATTGACGGTTGACGGTAATCTACCAGTTTGTGCCTTTTGTACGCACAAAAATCAAATCAGTGCAATGGAGTAAGGGATGAGGATGTGCGTTCATAATCATAGGCAACCCAGATCTACGCCTCTCTTGTGCCCGACTGCCTGAGTGTGTATGCATATCTCTGATTCATATGGGACATAAAACTACGAAGACTACATAAAATTAACTTTTAGCTTTATTTTTAGTTCCACTTCTTTTTCGGCAAGTATGAAAATATTTGAATTATTTTGACAATTCGTGGAAAATGACGTTTCAGTAAATATTCTCAGTTCGGAAAAAATATCAAAAAATCCGGTCGAAGTCCATGCATTATCTGGAACTTGCAATATGAATTTATATTCTAAATTCTATCCATATCCATGCATCGTCAATATTTCATTTGGAGCTTGTATTTTTGATAAGATTTTAGCAAAATGTATAATAGTAAAGGCAAGACCGCAGCCCACTTGACAAATAAGGATGTTCCGATCCACAAAAAGTATCGTTACCATGTATCGATTCGTATCGTTTTAGGAAGGTTCGATACGGAACTTACACTACCGAAAGCCGAAGTTGTTTTTTCTACAACCCTCAAAATAATGTTCACTTTTTTCAACTGCATTACTAGATTGTTGAGTACGTTCACTAATAAGAATATGTAAAATTATGTATTGCTTAATTTCCCACCTAAACTCGATTTTACAAAATAGATCCACAAATCACTTCTTATAGGAGGCATCACTATCGTTTAGCTCAATTTCCTCAGAAAAATCAACAAAAAAATACCATTTATTTTTTGTCACCATAGGTTTACGATTTGTTAGGTATTCTCGGATCTTAAAATATTTTTTTGAGGGACATACTTTTGGTATGTCGCTAAATACCCAAAAGGTAGAAGTATTTGTTTCGAATCGAAAGACAAATATACACTATAACAAGTACATTATGTAACGACGTTGATAAAATTTTATATAATACCTCTCCAGTAAAATATGTTTTCCCAAAAGAAATCCCCAGAAAAAATATCCCCAAAATCTTCCCCATTAAAACCCTGGAATCCAAAATAAATTGTGAGGTCGTGATGTGAGTAGCACCAGCGAAAGAAAACAAAGAAAAGTTATCTGAAGTTAGTGACTCTTTCTGACACAGTCCGGATCGACGGACGACGATATTCGTGAAATGTATCGATACACCCAAGTATCGTATATAAACATATTGACCCAACATATCGGGTATCGGAAGCAAAAGTATCGATACTTCTAAATATCGAATCATATCCAACATCTCTACTGTCAAGTTGTATAACTCGGGGTACTGACGGAGCCATTTGGGACGTCACGGAAATAATTTTAAAATTTTCATTTGCATTTTTTCAAGAGTTGTGCAACGATTTTGGGAAAAATTCCACGTATAGTCTTATGAAGCATAGTATATTTCAACAGTTTGCAGAGTTTGCTCCATTGGGACTAAGCGTTGACGGATCCCACATAATTATGTGTGACTTGTTGATATGGGGAGTTTTGAAATATCAGGAGATAATCAGCTGTTATTCAAATAATGTCTAACATAACCTAGAATGTGTCCTCGGTGAAAAAAGAAAATTCTTGCAAATTCTAGTTTTTTGCAGCTTTTAGGTTTGCTGGTAGCTTTACGACATAGGTATATTTTGTATTACTTAATCGCTCCAAATATAGTGAGGATGTTTGTTCTCTTCCTGAACAACGAAAAATATTCAACTTTATGGATATCCAAAATTCTGAATAGTTTTGTGCGAATAGCAATCTAAGGTACCATAATGAAGAGCGGCAAGTAAATGCATGAATGTTTGCAAACGAGCAATATGTATGAAATTTTTGGTAGAGTCTTTGTCATCAAGTAGGTGTTTAATGGCTATCTGCAAGAGGTTTATAGGAAAACACACGGTAGGTGATGTTAAATCAGTAAAATCGCATCAATTGAAGACAATAATAGAAATATGAATAAACAGTCAACAATAGTAAAAAACGTACATGAATTTTATTCAAAAATCAAACATTTCTTTAAATTTTGACTGAATTATACGTAATTCCTTAATACTCAAGCTGTTGATGTTTCAATGACAAGCTGTCATCTCATACTTTGACAATATTTTGTTTTAAATATTCCATAGATATTGGTTGCTAAAATCTGTTGAATAGATCTTGAAGCTCATTCACTATATTTGACGGACTGTTACCCTATAGGTGGAAAATAACGGCTTGTTGATTTGATAGTCCTGGTGAAAACCACCCTTAAACTATTATTTGTGATATCTAAACTGCGACATAATTATATGTTACATTACAGAGAAGAAGCCATAAAGCGAATGAATACATTTGTTTGGTAAAGAACGACCTTCAAACAGCTGTGAATCAATGTATAGAGGCAGTTGGTTATGAATTCGATACTGACATTCAAAAAATGCTCATTAGGGTAAGCAAGTATTTTATTTATTTCGTCACATTATTCCTAATGCAATTTATCTCGTAGGCTGCCCAATTCGGAAAGTGTTTCATATCAGACATGAAATCGGATTCATATGTAAACATGTGCCGACTTCTGCGCGTACTGAATGCTGTTAGAGATCCGAAAGTCGGTATACCTCTTACTATTACCCAGTAAGTAAAGTAATATGATCAAGGGTTGTTGCTTAGCTGTAGCTGTAGTTTTAATTGGGTGAAAGGTCATTTGATAGAATGCGTTTAATTTCTTCGGATCAGGTGTTAAAAATACCTTTAATCAAATTGACAACGTTTCGGCATTTATTTTACGTCTTCCTCAATGCTACAAAAACTGAGAAAAAACATTTAAAGTCCAAAAAGTTTTTAATGTTACAATGAAGTTAAAAAGTCTGTTACTAAGAAAGTACACAATAAGTTATTATCAGACTGCAGGAAGTTAAACATGTTTTTATTAATGGAACATTACAAATAAATAGATTTAAAAAACGATCAAATATTCAAAACGGTAAGTAAATTGTAAAAAGATGAATATTATTTTGCTAATTAAGCGTTCTTTGTAATTGCTTTAATTCTCTAATAAACTGACTTAGTCAAAGTTAAAATTATGATTCATGGGAATGATGAGTTGCCAAAGCTGCATGTTCCCTATCATTCCTATGTACTTCTCTAGAAGAGGGTTTATGAAAAGATAGTCTATTTTTCAGGTTTTTTTTTTTGACGGATATTCACTATTTGTCAATCATTACAAGCTATTTTGTACACTAAATTCGATCTATAGCTTATGCCGTTGATCCTCTTACAGGTAAGTACATAGACATGATAGGGAACATACACCTACAGCTTTGGCAACTCATAGTTTCAACTTTGACTTAGGGCCGTATCATCAGTCGTTGCAGATTACCATATTATCATGTCTCCTTCAGTAAGGTTGTGAGTATTGCTTTAGATTTCTGGCATGCCGACAGTCCTGACTATAGGTTATATTGTTATTTTGACGTTTAATGGCACTCTCACAGTCAAGCAGAGTTTCTGAGGGGGTATCGGGGAGGTGATAGGGAAACGCTAGTAGGACGGCGTTGTGACAAGGCAAGCGCTCTACGTTAGAAAAGGATAGAAATACGCAGACGTGTGCTGTTCGCGTGCCTGGTTGAATTTGCATATTGCACAGAGTCGGATTTGATTTGGATATACGATCTAGCGTACGACTGTTTCCCTATTTTGGCGCATAGTATACCCAGCCCTTATTATTCTTATTACCGTTATTGTATTGTTGTATTATCGTGTTGTTATTGTTGAGTGTCTTTCTTACCAAGGTATCCAAAATGAACAATAAAAGAAATGAACGTGGCGTCTCAAAGAAGCCGCATTTAAATACGCACAGGAAAAAAAGACGTTTTCCAGTTAGAAAGGTAGGAATCAAAAAAATTATGAATTTTAGCATTCATTTTGCCAATAAATTAGACTATACGTAGTTACTATTATAATTATATTGTATATGTTATTTTAGCTTAAAAATGACAGCAAGGTTTCGCATATGCATTCTCTATCAGAGACAGATAGCATGGATCTTCAAATTCAGGTGTGTATACCCTTTTTTAGGATATATTTTTACTTTTTTAGTAACATATTTATGAAACATTATTGTAGAAAGAAGAAGCGGTCGTTTCACAGACAACCATGGAAACACAATTAGAGGAATCCAACTGTCAAACTGATGTAAGTCCATTTTCATCAGTATGTAGGATTTGTATGTATGTTTTTCAATCAAAGTGCCATATAATGAGTTCGTTACTTCCCACACATAAGCATTCAGTGTTTTTCATGTGGGGGCTTTTGCGTTTCGGGGATGGACGCAGGGGCAGGGGGAGTACTGAGTTATAATAGGTAATGCCAGTGTGGAAAATTGGAAACGACGGGACTGGGCGCCATCTTAGTCAATTTTTCTTAATGGAATGAGTTTTTTTGAGATATCTTGAAGCTCTTTATTTTTTTTCTAAAATATATTGTCCGCGTATAGATTCAATCATCCGAAATACAAGTGGTAGTGAATCAGATAGTAGTTGTAGTAATTCCATATTTATCTATATTACTGTTTATGTATACCGTTATTTTGTTTATTCCTGCATAAGACTTTGTCAATCTGTTTAGTTTATAAGAGTTCCTCCATATTTGTGTTGGTTATAATATCGACATTTACCATAACTTACTGATTTGCTGTGAAATTGCTTTGTTCACTTTTGAATGAGAATGTCTGATTATTTTATAAGATTTACTTTTTGTTTTAGATTTGTAGAATATCCTCTTTTTGTAAAACTCTATAAACAACGTATTTTTTAATGTTTTCATTTCCAATTGAGTATAATTTGGTCCCTCAGGCCTCTGACTCTTGGTTCCCGTAAGAAAATCACATCAGCATGGCACACGTCTTACGTTACGCGGCCAAATATAACTGCCAGCAGTGAGACATATCATGTGTGTCACGAGGCCCAAAGTGCCAAATGAGGTGCGACACACGCATTATATCTCATGGTGCTTATCGTGTTAAGTTTATTTTACGATACTTCATAAGGTTAAAGCAAAACAGCAAGTGACATTTTATTTGTGTTAAATGCGTTCACTATAATTATTATTTTTAACTAAAAAGTTTACCGCCTCCAATGACCCTGGAACCACCTGAAAACTTTTGGTCACAAAGTTCTGTATTTTACCACACATGTCAAGTCTTTTCATTTGATATGTAAATTGGGGGTTTTGTACAAAAATATGTAACTCGCTATTTCGAAACGGCGGAAATCTTGGAATCAAATTTTTAGTGAAGTACTGTATTCTACAAAGCGACGACTCTTATTTGACATATTAGCAAGATTTTGCTAAAGTATGTTATCCGCCATTTTGTGACGGCCGCCATCTTGATCTGAAACTGTTTTCGTATTACTGTTTTGTACAAGTGCTTCCATTTGATATGCATATTGGGGTGATTGAACAAAAATGATTTTTTGTGGGATCACCTCTGAAGCATGGCCTATTGTATAAAAAGAAATGATTAAAATCGATTAAAAATTTCCCCTCTTTCATTGAAGTCTATTAAAAATGTCACTTACTGGTCCGATGTTTATCTCGAACGACCGACGTCAAAACTGCTACTGTTTGGGACAACAAATTATCTGAATACGTCCTTTCTTAGTCCGTAGACACCGCCGCGATGCTTCGACTGGCAGCACGAGATAGTGGATAAAATTCGTGTAAAAGCCTATTTGTAGAGGTTTTCGCGCTTCAAAATTGACGCTTCATTTTTGAATATTTTTCTATGAAATTTTCACAGTGCACTAAAAACAAGACTCCACAGGGTGCTATAGAGCCACTTTTTCGTTTTTTCCTCTGGGTTATTTTTAAAAAAATCGAGAAGTCGAACAACAATTATCTGCACTTCCACCCACCATAACTCTTGAACAATTTTTTTTTTAGAAAAGTGGCTCTATAGCACCCTGGACAATTGTCTTCTGAACATACTGTATAAATTTTATTCAAATATATAGAAAAATAGAGCGTCAGTTCTGAAGCAGCTAAACCCTTGTAAATGGCCTGAAACTCACTGCGTCGGAGCCGCCTTAAGAAATGCAGAAGCACAATTTATTATTTTCTTGCAAATAATGTTGATCAGCCAATAATACTTCCCTACATTGAACAAATTCCACAAGCTGTGGTATCTTCAAGAAATTGTTGGGTTAGGAAAATCCATATGCACATGGATATATTTATTTATTTGTATAAAAGCCCAAAAGCTTACATCCAAGCTGTTCTCTTCATGAAGGTAGGTAAGTTACAAAATTAATCATTGCATATTCATATTTATATACTTATCGCATTTTTTTTTAGATGTGATTCATTCTCACAGAATTGCCTGTTCAAAAATCATCGTGGGAGTTTGGATTATGTAGAGTGTATATACAACTATATATAATGTGCAAATGGTCTAAAATTGATTTTAAACGTGATCTTTTGAACTATCAGATATTTTTTTATATTGTCGGGAACCTTAACCTATAAATTTTAGATTATAATTCTAAAATTATTATTTCAATGTTCCAGCCCACACAAAGGTGTAAAATTTTTTATTTTTCTTGAATTGATGCATCTTTTTGCAGATATAAACCATCATGATGTTGCATACAAAACTCAGTAAAATTCCATCTATTTTGGAAGGATAACAAGGGAATGATCTTCCTAAGAAGGGATTTATGTATCCAGGCACTTGAAAGTATATTTTAAGGAGCCAATCTTACAGAAACAAAAAGTGAATTTGCTTTTTGTGGCTGATATGTGTTACGATACAGCGCTCCATGGATAAGAAACATTGTATGACAAGTGCAATTGCATTATTGTTGATGTCAGAGATGCTTTTTCACTAATCATTGTGAATTGTGTAGAGTGTCAGGGTACAAGTACCGTGTGTATGTAAAGATCATAATTACTATTCCATAGCTTTTTTCAGGATGCTCAAGATACCATGGTCATATAGGATTACCAAAAATTAGGTATTACAGAGAGTAAACAGAAAAATAGAGATGCAGCATGAAGTAAAATCCGAAAAACCATGACATAAAATCCCATAATTAATTACAAATAGGAAAATACAAGAAAGTTATGACTCATCAAGGAATCACTTTCCTGTTAAACAAATTCCAAACAGTTCAAAAGACTAGATAAGCGGAAAAGACCCATTATTTTGAAAATGGTAGGTGCCTCAAAGTCAGACTAAGCCCTAATAAGTAGTTTTATGATAATTGCATTGCAGTCATAATTCACTCATCATTACAAATTGACAGATGCTGCAAGTAGCTGATTAAAATTCACAACACAACAATTTCTTGAAGATACCACAGCTTGTGGAATTTGTTCATTGTAGGGAAGTATTATTGACTGATCAACATTATTTGCCAGAACATAATAAATTATGCTTCTGCCTTCGATTCATGTGTCTAAAATTTCTTAAACGTCAAAATAACAACATAACCTAGTCAGAACTGTCGGCATGCCCGAAATCTAAAGCAGTACACACAATTACCTTACTGAAGGAGGCCATAAAGACGTCCTACAATAATTAGCTTAATTAGCGAAATTATTTCTGTTTAGTCAGATTTATAATTTCTTGATTAAGAAATTTATCAGATCTAAACCTGAAGCAGTGTTATGCTGTCTCAGATTTTTTTATTGCTCCTCATATACATATATCTACTTCAATTTCGACTTTAGAAATTTAACTTTTAAAAATTTTAATTTTTGTTTCTTAAGTTACAATTCACAGATACAAAACTGTATAATAAAATAACATGTATATCTTTAAAAGTCTATCCCAAGTCTGTTCGGCGGTTGTTCACTCGCACTGAAGTAATCTGCAGGCTTAGCACATTCCTATGGTGGACTTGTTCTGT